GCGTCGGTGCGCGCCCGGGATCCGAACCAGCGAACCCCGGGCCGCCGCAGCGGAGCGCGCGCACTTAACCGCTTGCGCCACCGGGCCGGCCCCACACGTATGAATCTTAATAATTTCTTCCACTAAATATTTGCACTGGAATAAAAATTAAGATACTGACTCAACAAGAAAAGATAAAATTGGCTACCTTATTCAGCTCTTATAAGTTAAAATGTGCAGACTTAACATTAGACAATTCAGTTTCTTTCATTTTATTTTTAAGATGGCTCCATTTCTTAAGACAGAACAACACAAACACAAGATACAGTCATTGGGGCTGGCTGAGACCACATTCACCTGCTCTCCTAAAAGCACTAGGTCAGCCCCCAAAAGAATAATTACAAATCTGAGAAGTTAGGGAAAGGCGTAGGACTAGGGATTCTAATTAAACAAGAAAAATCAATTAATGACAATGGTATTCTATTCTTCACATCATTATTAATACAAACTCAACCCTTTTAAATCAGGGAACCTGCCATTCCAATCCTAATCAAGTAGCTTTACAACCCCTATAAAGTAAAAGAATTACATAAAGGTGTAAACTGATTTGCCTCTTTAAAGACATTGCAATATAGAAGAGAAATTGTTTTTTTTAAGCTTCTCCTTCTGAGTTCTGCAGGCTTCATGGTACTTCACAGCCCCAATAATCAAGCAGTTCATGACAAAAGATAAAAGTGAAAAAGTAGACACAGAGATCTGTGAAAACTTCGCCCATTTTGCTATAGGTATCCATCGATCGATTTATCACTTCAGCAGGAATTCCAGATAACAGAAGTGCAGCTGTTAGTACTGTTGTCTTTATCTTCTTTTCACTCTGTATAGAAAAAGACTTAAATAAATCTTACAGCTTTCAGAAGACTCCTTAAGCTCTATAAAAACATTATCAGTATATTTTTGCCTAACTGATTTCAAAACTGTTAATGAAGTTTCAAAACATCAATCAATAATATATCAGCAGACATTTACTGAGGATATAATATGTAAAGCAGCAAACTGCTAGACAGTAGGGAAAAGGCCGTTTTTGCTATCAAACGTTAAAAAAAGTCTTATCTTGGAAGCAAGACAAATAACAATTTAAGATATATACAACAGCATAAGACAAAAACAGGATAAACATTACTAGACAGGATATAAAAGACTGCTAAATGAATGACATGGATAATGTGTGGCATGGCGGCTCAAAGGAGACAGAAATTAGTTCAGGCTTTTATGTATAAATAAAGCACAGGGAAGGATTTCAGAAGGAAGCGGAATTAAAAACAGGTCCTCAAGAATGAGCAATATTGGGGCCAGCCCAATGGCATAGTGGTTGGGTTCACGCACTCCACTTTGGTGGCCCAGGGTTCATGAGTTCAGATCCCGGGTGTGGACCTGTGTACTGCTTATCAAGCCATGCTGCGGCAGGCATCCCACATATAAAGTAGAGGAAGGTGGGCAAGGATGTTAGCCCAGGGCAAATCTTCCTCAGCAAAAAGAGGAGCATTGGCAACAAATGTTAGCTCAGGGCTAATTTGAGAAATCAAAGCCTATGTTCACAAAAAGACTCATACAAGACAGTTCTTAGCTGCTTTAGTCATAATAACCCAAGACTGGAAACAACTAAGATGTCTATCAACAGGAGATTAAATAAATGGATATATTCACACAATAGAATATTACTCAGCAAAAAAAAGGGAATGAACTGCTGATATACGCAACAACATGGATGAATCTCAAAAATATTATGCAGAATGAAAGAAGCCTTGTACAAAAAAAGTATGTACAGACATGATCCCATTTATATGAACTAGTAAAATAGGCAAAACTAATCTACAGTGACAAAAAGAAAATCAGACCTTCAGGGTATAGGGGCTGGGGCTGCCTGGAAAGGGGCATGACGGAACTTCTTGACAGTAGTGTTGTAAACTTTGAAAGGATTTAGGTTTCACAGGTTGTCAAAAACTCATTAAATGATATAAAGACTTGAGCATTTCACTGTATGAAAATTTTACCTTAAGGAAAAGAACCATAAACAAACACTGAATTGTAGTTAATGATATGTAAGCTGAAATGTGTAGGGGTAAGGTATACTAATGTGTACATGTACATCATACTTTGAAATACATCAAGAAAAAAAGATGTACTGAAAATGGATAGAAAATTGGATGGATACATAATAAATATAATGAAATGTAAATTATAGAATCTAAGTGGTAAGTATAAACGGGTGTTCACTGCACAATTCTTTCAACTTTTCTGTGTGTTTAAAAACAGTTATAACAAAATGTTTTGTTGAGAGAAAAGTATACAGTATTCTCCAATCTCTTTTCTCTCTCCCATTTACCTAGTAACCTTTACACACTCCTATCACAAATAACAAATGTTAAAAGTTCCACGTAATATTCTTCCAGAGTTTCTTTACACATATACAAGAAAAATCAAATATATATTATTTTCCTCCTTTTCACACACAAAAAAGAGTATACTATAGATCTTATTCTGTATTTTGGTTTTTTCTCTCAATATTTATTGGCGAGCTTACCACTAACAGTACATGGAGAGCTTCATCATTCTGAATGGACATGCTGCAATTTTTTTGTGTGTCTGTGTGAGGAAGATCAGCCCTGAGCTAACATCCATGCTAATCCGCCTCTTTTTGCTAAGGAAGACCAGCTCTGCGCTAACATCTATTGCCAATCCTCCTCCCTTTTTTTTCCTCTAAAGCCCCAGTAGATAGTTGCATGCCATAGTTGCACATCCTTCCAGTTGCTGTATGTGGGACGCGGCCTCAGCATGGCCAGAGAAGTGGTGCATCGGTCCGTGCCCGGGATCTGAACCCAGGCTGCCAGTAACAGAGCGCGCGCACTTAACCGCTAAGCCACGGGGCTGGTCCTGTAAATTTTTTTAACTAGTCACTTATTAGTGAATATTTAGGTTGTTTCCAAACTTTTGCTACTGCAAAACTACAATGAATGTTTCAAGAATAAATTTCTAAACAAATGCTTTAATTAAAATTACACTTTTGGGGTAAGTCAATAAATATACATCTGTATCATAAAAAAATTAATAAAATTACATTTCTTTCTTTACTCTTTCACTTTGTGTATTTGACCCCTCAAAAATATAAATGTTTCAAATCCATTAAAAACACACATGAGGTCTATCAGTGCATTACAAATGACTAAGCAAACAGCCAAGTAGCCATTTTTTAGCAAAAAACTCACACAAAATTCAATCACACAAGTAAGGTTATCTTCTATGCCAGCCAAGCCAAGTCCCATATAACTATGTATACATCTGTAGGCAAGCAGACCAGGCAAAGGACACACCCCATGATTCTGTTCTGCAATTTGGGCCAAATATTTCTTGCAAATATCAGGCCCTCAACATTAAAGATAAAGTGTATTGTTATTAAGTGTCCAGTAAGGAGCAAAATAAGATAACTGAACACATTTTAAAATTAATTTCCTTTATTATAGATAAAATGTATTACTGAATTTACTAAGTAATTAAATTGAACACTTTCTTAGACAAGTACTATTCAGACTCTGTCATGAGGTTTTTCCCCCCATCCATGGTGGACCAACATTTTTGTAAAATACAATAAAAATGTTATGGCAATGTCAAACTGCTATAAAAGTTTCTAATTACTCATATTCTGAACTTAACTCATTACAAAATGAAGCAAATAGTTTGAAGATCAGCACTGGTGGCCCAATCACACTTTGGTGGCCACTAATTCAGACCATAAGTATGGCTAATTTTTGAGAAGTTCTTAAAATTATCTAAGTCATTAATCAATCTAAATACATCACCATAATTTAGAAAAAAAATTTAATTTACCTTGGGAAAATATTTGTATAGTCCCATGTATGCAAGTTGTAAAGTAAGAAATGGAGCAAATATGGACTGTGAAGATAGAAGATAAAATTATATATTTCCAACATAATCATTCACAAAATAATCACAATAAATCAAACTAACAGCAAGCTATCAAATTCCAAGCAAAAAAACTGTAACATTTAATTTTAGTGGCTAAAAGCAGTCTTATTTCTGCAGAAGGGTGAAGTAAATAAAGGGATTTGATTTCTTTATCATAAAACACGTTTCTCAAGTTAAGTCACATTCTTTTAATGTCCCCCAAAATGTCTTCTCTCATAAAAACTTATCTTTGAAATGATTTAAAGTAGTCAATGGTGATAGATGTATAATATGTCATGCAGTAACATCTCTCTCATCTAGAGGTAATTACCTGACAATTTAAAAGCACACATAAAGGGCCCAGTAGTTGAGATGCCAAACATCCCCCAAACTTTGGGGCAAGGAATTAACTTATATAGCTAAATCTCTGGCCCTCAAATGATGAGCTATTCTTACCATAGATAAAATGGCTTGGTTATCTTGCTTCTCACACAATAAAATAAAAAAGATCAAAATAATACTTGATTTACATTATTTTTAAAATTAAAAATATTATGAAGGGAGTGAAGGAGCCAACATTACTAGAAGTACAGTGAGAGCAATGAGAAATAACAGTTTAAAATGTGATAGCAAAGAAAACCAGAAAGCCAAAAAACCTCACACAAAGATGAGACACAAAAATAGGACATAACTTGAAAAGCATGAAAGCACAGAGCCCTTTAGAGAAGAGAAACAAGCAACTATATATCTCATTAAATGCTGAAAGCTATGATGACAATTTACCATCAGGAAAAACAAAATCAAATCTATTAAACAGATTTTCTTTAAGAAAAGATTTGCATAAAAATAGATTTTAAAAATCTTTTTTGCTTAATAATATAAACGTTAATGATCTGAAAAATTTACTTAAGTGGCTGGTACTTGGTAGGTATTCTTAAAATGTCTACTGAATGGAAATACCTCAAAGAGCAAGATAGTGAATCATGAGCTATGCTTTTCTGCGTTCCTCATCATACTGTAAAACAAAAGGACCAGTAAATCCCAACTTTCAACAAATAGCCATTGGCACGTGAAAGTACAATAAAAACGGACTGCCATAATACTACAACATTATAAAATGCTAAAATGCCTTCTGAACCATAGAAAAACTACACCATGTTCAGGACCACAAGAACTGCATTTTAACGATTCAAATTATTTGAAAAGTGGTAATTAATATATAGTACATGTAGGTACTTTATACCCTTCGGTTTTGGAATGAAACCTTCTGGGTTTAATCTCAGCTGTCACTCAGTAGCTGTGTGACTTTGGGCAAATGATTTAACTTAACCTCTCTGAGTCTTCATTCCCTCATCTATAAAACACAGATTCAAATGATACCTAGTTCATAAGGAGAAGGATTAAGCAAATTAATATATATAAAGTACCTAAAATGGTACCTAGCATGTAGAAAGAGTTTAGCAATATTATTAGGCTCTGTATTTAATCAGAACACCTCATTCTGTAACTAAGGTGAATAGCAGCTTAAATATACATCTCCAAATAGCCACGTGAATCTGGTAAATATTAAGTTAATATTGGCAATGAATTCTATGGATTAACAGCACTCATTATTATAACCAATTTGCATTTTCCATTATGTTTCTTACCAAGTATTTGCAAACAAAAGCTCTGACTCCAAAGGCAAGAAGAGCACATCCCACCAATCTAAATATTCGAAAAGAGTCAAATTCTTCTGTTGTATTTCCATCCTCTTGATTGGGTTTTTCACTAATCAGCTGTTTCCTGAGCTTCATTGCTTCTTCAAATCGGGAGAGATACTGTTCTAGGCCATGGCGAGAACCCCTCTGAACAGTGTCCGCTGTCAGGTCCCCTCTGTTCCGCTGCCGGAGCTCAAGGCTTACATCATTGCTGCACTCAGGTGGTTTAATGAAAGAGTCCAATTTGTCTCCCAGCTGAGTCCCCTTTACCTCGGCCACACTGCTCTGCAGGTCAGTTGTCCCTGTACTGACCGAATCACCCAGCACTACTCGCTTTGCAACTGAAGGAATGGTGAGAGAGTTCAGTTTATCACTGTCCTGCTGCTTTGATTTTGTTTGACTTTCTTCTTCTGAGAAAAGAAATTTAGAATTATGTATTACATACTGGCAAACACCTTTCATATTAATATTAAAAAATATGCTGCTGCTGCTAGATCTCGGCAGTTTCTGAACCTAAATTAACACTGATTCTGCAGACAAAAATAAACCAGTTCCTCTACACCCTCAAAATATATCACCCAAAAAGAGTATTCCTGCAGAAGATATAATCCAAACTTTGGAGGTAGCACATAAGACTAGGAGACAAATTGAGAAAGATAGTCAGGGATGAAGCAAGCTTGTAAAGACCAAATTTTCATGGATAATAGCCCAGAAATATGATTGCACTGCCTGCTCTAGCTTATTTGGTTAAAAATATAGAATTATTAAAGCCCTTTAAAATTTATATTTCAATATTATACTTCTGAATCCAGAATCCTGTCAGCATAGGGTGTGGCATATCCTTCAGCTTCTGTTTACGTAAGCCTTGTACTGTAGTCAGGGAGCCATTAGTAGGTACTTAAGCAGTTTTAGGATGCTGTTCTGGTTTAAAACAAAACAAAACCTTTAATGACAGATAAAATTTTCAAAACAAAAGAACAAAATATAGAATGTACCTCGAGAAAGATAATCAATGCTTTGGGAAAGAATAAATATCCTGCTATTAATCATTAAAGGAAGAAATGTGTCTCCTAACTCCAGTTCTAAGAGAATCTGCAATAGTGCTCTTACCTCTCTTGGTAGTTTTCAGCCGCAAACCTGTGAACTGTCTAGAAGTTCAGAGCTATATATCTAAAGCCCCACAGAACAGAGGTCAAGATCTAAGGAGCTTCAACCAGTGACTATAGGCCAATTACTAAAGGCAACACTCAATGGAAACTTAGAGAACACTAGCACATACTAACTGTTAAATAAATATTCACGTGAAAAAAAATTTAAGAAACTCATTGTACATGTCATTGGGGGGGAAATGAGGAACTCTCTTGAGGGTTAAATGCAGTTCCTGACATCAATCACCCCGATCTCAGCACACTAGGAGAGAAGACCTCCGGTGGGCACGTCCCACTTGTTGGGTCTATAAAGAATGGTCGCTCCCATCTTTTTGACCTGTTTTATAAGGGCTATAGATGACCGTGTTGAGAGCACTGAACACAAACAGTAGGAAATGACCATAAGAGTCCCTGATCCACGTAGGAAGGACTAGGGGGCAGTTCAGGCAAGACAAGCTCATGCGGGCCAGGCAGAAGAAGGTAGACGCTAGGGAAGGCGCTGGAAGGGAAAGCATTTGGAACTAAAGGAAAGGAAAGCAATCTTCCTGCGGGGCACAATAGGCAAAGCAGTCTGAATGGGCATAAAACGCCCGCCCTTCAAAAAAGGCGAGTGGGTGCGGAAGGCAGAAGCGGCTGTCTCATGGTACCTGGGCCAGACGGCACCATGGCTGAGGGACTCGGGAGCGAGGGCTTCGCAGCCCGCGGTGGAGGTGCGGACAACCTCAGGGCGAAACCCCCAGAAAATTCAGGAAAGCGACTAGAAACGTCCGGGGCTTAAGAAATGAGAACTTGGGACAACACCTAAGGAGCAGGGAGAGAGGGGAGGTCAGAGAGCAGGGCTTAGCCAAGAGGGTCCCAGCGAGTGGAGGAGGGAAAGGAAGAATGATCCTGAAGACTCAAAGGGGTGGACGGGAGCCTGCGGGGAAACCGAGGTCCTCACCCGCGCCGCACCCGGGCCTGTGAAAGCCCATGATCCGGTTGATGCGCTGTTCCGAGTTCATGAGCAGCTTTCTCCGCCGCAGTTCGGCCCGACGCTGGGAAGCCGACAGGCCTGAGCCCGCCGGGGCTCCGGGCCGGTCCCCGCTGTCAATAGCGACGGTCACTGGCTCCATCTTCCCCTCCGCAGTCAAGGACTGGTGACGGTAGAGCTGGTGGCGGCAGCGGTGGCGCCGATGACTCCAGGCCCGACCGCGGAGCGCGCGTCCCCTCCCGCCGGAGACTGTAGGCTAAGCACGCGCGCCGCCCGACGGGACCAATCGCGAGGCTTGCGCCGCCATCTTGAATGAGGGCAGAGCCGGATGCGCCAGGTCCTTCCCCCTCGGCTGGCTTTCGCTGCTCCCCTCCCAAGCTCCCGGGCTCCTCTGCTGTTCAGTCGGAGGTGAAGAAAACCGGCACCCAGCCTCACGAGCGGGACAAGGACGGGAGTAAGGAATAAGCATCCCAGACTACTGCCAGGAAGCAAAATGGAGGATACGGCAGCAGGCGCTTGTTTCCAGTGACCTTCTGCGGCCTCGCTTATAGGCCGTAACTCCGGGAGCGACGCTGTAGGAGCGTTGCGGTTGGGATTTGTTTTCTGTGGTGATTCCTCCTCCTCAACCGCCCTTCTCCCACGTACGCGCTTGGGTTGTTCTAGCCTTTCCTCAGGTCTTTCCTCATGTGTTTACCAGGGAAGCCTTCCCTGTCCGTTCTATTTAAATTGCCACCCCCGCTCAACTCTCCCTGTTCTCCATATCTGCTTTATTTTTCTCCTTAACAGTTATAACTGACTCGCAAGCTAAATGTACTTATTTTGTTTATTGTCTCTCACTAACTAGAACGTCGGCTCCATGAAGACAAGCAGTTGTTTTGTTCACGGCTGCAACTCCTAGAACAGTGTGAGCGCCCAGCAGGGCCGACTCATCCATTAGGCGGTGTTGAGGGCTCAGGACAGTCTTAGGGGCCCAAAAATGTGTTTTAATTTCTTGTTAAATCAGAAGAAAAATGTAATAATAATATATAATAATGAATCCATCCTGGATTATAGTCGTCCTTATACCAACACAGTCCGAAGGAGCTCATGTAAGTTAAGTGCCTAGGGCCCGCAAGTCATAATACAGCCCTGGCGCTCAGTAATGACTAAGTGAATGAGTAACTGTATGAAGGAGTTGAGTGCCCTATCAACCCTTGCTGAGAGGGCAAGGGCACTATGGACTGAACCTGAGGCTGCAGAGGGTGAAGCAGCCTAGTGAGCCCCCTGTAATGAAGCCTGCTGCACAATCACGCTCAAAATCAGGAAGCGGGTGAAACCCCACTTAGACGGAAAGTAATAAAATACTATAATCGTTAAGGGCTCGCCCAGTGGTGCAAGCGGTTGGGTGCGGGCGCTCCGCTGCGGGGAACCGCTGTTCGGAACCCCGGGCGTGGCAGGCACCAACGCACTGCTTGTCAAGCCATGCTGTGGTGGGGTCCCATATACAGTAGAGGAAAATGGGCACGGATGTTAGCCCAGGGCCAGTCTTCCTCAGCAAAAAGAGGAGGATTGGCATCGGATGTTAGCTCAGGGATGGTCTTCCTCACAAAACCAAAACAAAACAAAACTACAATTGTTAGTCGCCTGACCCTGCCCCAGACAGAAAAGAAGTTTGGGGAAAAAATTGTTAAAAAACCCCAAACGACAACGTATCTTTTGGATTCAACAACATAAGGAGCTCAAGTATAAACACTGCATTTCCCACTTGAGTGGATGAAAGCTAAATCCCAGGGACACGCCCTAGTTGATAGTTTTAAAGCACTGTTAGAAGAGTTTCCCCTGCATATCTGTACAGACCTATTGCTCTGTACAGACTGTGCCTTAAAAAAATTCTACAACTGAAATAATTAAGTAGTAAAAAATGTGCAGAACTTGATGAGATACAGTCTTGTTGAGTCAAGAAGAAATACAATTCCAGGATAAACAAAAGATTTTTTTCATTTGAGAGAGTTTACAGAAGTCAAATGAAAATTATGGTTCTTCAGATAGGCGTGTTGTATGATGACTCATTCAGTCAGGTACAAATTAAAAGTGTCAAGATTTCATATTACATGCTTACTTATTTCTGGGGAACCATTTCCTCTGGGGTTTTTGTAGTTTATTAAACTTCCTGGTACTTCTCAGTGGTATATGTGATTGTTTGATAAATGATGTGCTTACTGTAACTCTTGTATTAATTTCTATCTCCCTCACTAGGGAGGGAGGCTATCCCTTTTCTTGCTTTCTTTTTTTGGTGAGGAACACCCATTGCCAATCTTCCTCTTTTTTTGCTTGAAGAAGAGTGGCACTGAGCTAACATCTATGTTCATCTTCCTCAATTTTGGACGTGGGACGACACCACAGCATGGCTTGATGAGTGGTGTGTAGGTCTGCACCCAGGATCCGAACCTGCGAACCATGGGCCGCTGAAGTGGAGTGCGCAAACTTTTTTTTTTTATATAATTTTATTTATTTATTTTTTTCCCCCCAAAGCCCCAGTAGATAGTTGTATGTCATAGCTGCCCATCCTTCTAGTTGCTGTATGTGGGACGCAGCCTCAGCATGGCCAGAGAAGCAGTGCGTCGGTGCGGGCCCAGGATCCGAACCCGGGCCGCCAGCATCGGAGCGCGTGCACTTAACCGCTAAGCCACGGGGCCGGCCCTGGAGTGCGCAAACTTAAACCATTACGCCACCAGGCTGGCCCCGATCTTTTTTTTTTTTTTTTGTGAGGAATAGTGACCCTGGGCTAACATCTGTTGCCAATCTTCCTCTTTTTGCTTGAGGAAGATTGTTCCTGAGCTAACATCCATGCCAATTTCCACTATTTTGTATGTGGGATGCCGCCACAGCATGGCTCAATGAGCAGTGTGTAAATCTTTGCCCAGGAAACAAACCCACGAATCCCGGGCCACAGAAGCGGAGCATGCAAACTTAACCACTATGACACCGAGCCAGCCCCAATCTTTTTTTTTCCCCCAAAGTCCCAGTAGATAGTTGTATGTCATAGTTGCACATCCTTCTAGTTGCTGTATGTGGGACGCCGATGCAGCACGGCCAGAGAAGCTGTGCATCGGTGCGCACCCAGGATCCCAACCCGGGCTGCCAGTAGTGGAGCGCACGCACTTAACCGCTAAGCCACGGGGCCGGCCCCCCCCGTTTTTTTAATTTACCACTTTGCCCCAAGCCTACCACTGAGAGCACTAGATTAAAGTTACCTGAATAGTTGCATTAAACTTACCTGAATAACTTTTCTTTTAGAGGAAGTGTCAAAACTTAGCATTTTCAATGAGTTTTATGCGTAATTTTTATTTGATCTTGTGTTGTTTAGGTAGGCTAATATTAATACTTTATTGATAAACGATACAAAGCTGAACAGATTGAGTCATAAGTGATAAAACTAGAATTCAGTTTCTGGGGTTAAATTTAGGCACTAAATTCATGCTTGGACCCCTCTCTACTCCACACAGCAATAACAATAACAGTTATAAATATAAAGGGAGAAAAAGAAATAGCTGGACTCAGAAACAAGAGAAACATCTCAGCAGATCAAAGTATGAGAAACACAAAGCATTGTGGAGCTGAAGTCAGGTATTGTTGGGCTGCAGGTCCAGAAGCAGGCAATGGTAGCACATTCTATGGGGTAAGGGGCACTCCACATGAGACATGGGGACAAACAGGCCAAACTCACTGCTTGAGGTCAGCCCTCCCTACAAAAATATTCAAAATATCATTTGCTATTGACCCACATAGCCGTGGACTTCAGCTTTATAAACAGGGAGGCAGAAGAGAGAGCAACAACTAGACTTTTCACTGTTGGTAACTGGAATGGTGATATCCCAAAATCATTGCAGGACAGGAGCCTGAACCATCACTAGGAGCCCTAGATTTTTCGAAGGGGTCAGGAAATGCAACTAAAAAAACCCCCATTCTTAGGGAGAGGGTGAGGGAAAGCTTGGACAGAGAGAGAGGAGCTAAAATGAAAATAAAAACCCTCTCACTCAAATGAGCCTACAAACCCAAATTCTAACAAACGTGTAGAAATAGAAAATTTAAATTCTGCCAGCCATGGGGCCAGCACGGTGGCGCAAGCAGTTAAGTGCGCGCCTTCCGCTTCGGCGGCCCGGGGTTTGCAGGTTCCGATCTGGGCGTGCACCGAAGCACAGCTTGGTAAGCCATGCTGTGGCGGCGTCCCATATAAAGAGGAGGAAGATGGGCATGGATGTTAGCCCAGGGCCACTTCCTCAGCAAAAAGAGGAGGATTGGCACTGGATGTTAGCCCAGGGCCACTCTTCCTCAAGAAAAAAGGGGGAGGATTGGCATAGGATGTTAGCTCAGGGCTAGTCCTCCTCACAAAAAAATAAATAAATAAATAAAAATAAATAAATTCTGCCAGCCAAATTAAAAATTGGAATTGGAATTCACTCCAGAAAGAATTTTATAGAACAGTTTTAGTACATTATTGAACAAAAACAGGCAGAAATGAATCAAAAACAGATGGATATAAAAAAAATCAATCTTGAAAATAAAAAATGTAGTTATGCAAATATAAAATTCAATAGATGAGATCAAATTCCAAACTGGACACCGCCACAAGAGGAATTAGTGAAAACATACATCTAATAGGAATTTTGAGGGTAAAAAAAGAATAGAGGAGGGGCCGGCCCAGTGGCGTAGTGGTTAAGTTCATGTATTCTGCTTCGGTGGCCCAAGGTTCGCCGGTTCGGATCCTGGGCATGGATCTACACACTGCTCATCCAGCCTTGCTGAGGCGGCATCCCACATAGAAGAACTAGAAGGACCTACAACTAGGATATACAACTATGTACTGGGGCTTTGGGGAGAAAAAAGGTAAAAAAAAAAAAGAGGAAGATTGGCAACAGATGTTAGCTCAGGGCCAATCTTCCTAAAAAAAAAAAAAACGAGGGGCTGGCCCCGTGGAGTAGCGGTTAAGTGTGCGCCCTCCACTGCTAGCGGCCAGGTTGGGATCTCGGGTATGCACCGATGCACCACTTGTCAGCCCATGCTGTGGCAGCATCCCATATAAAGTAGAGGAAGATAGGCACAGATGTTAGCCCAGGGCCAGTCTTCCTCAGCAAAAAGAGGAGGATTGGCATGGATGTTAGCTCAGGGCTGATCTTCCTCACACACACACACAAAAAATAAAATAAAATAAAAAGATTAGAGGAAATGACAGCAAAGCAAATATTTTAACAGAAAGTAG